TTATTTGCAATTTTAGGAAATATTTCACTTGAATGTAGACATCTTTCCAATATTTCATATATATATCAGGGTCTACAGGGTGTCACTACACAGATCGGACTTGTAGTGATCTTCCTGTTGTCAACCTCCCAAGCACTGAGAACATAGGTGTGCACCACCATGCCCAGTCTCAGTCGTTGTCTCAGTGTGCCCTGGGGGCGGGGCAGCACGGCGCTCGAGCCCTGGTCCCTGTGCCTGCCTAAGCAGGCACTTTAGTCTGCTGAGCTATCTGGCTGACCCCTTTTAGATTACTTCAGAGAAGTCTAAAAAGGACAGAAAAATGTCTACATTCCAGAGAAATATTTCATAAAATTTCAAATAAACTTCAACTAAAAGCATCACTACATGAATGTATATATGTATATGTACACTTATGTGGATAAAGATATATGTTTCTCCCATTCTCTTTGTAATGGATGGGATGCTATCCTATCGTAGGACCCTGAGGAGACCCCTCCACAGGTCTGCAGTTATATTTCACCACCGGCTGAAAGCTTGCCTGGTCACAGCCCTCAGTGCCCAGCTGGGTTTTGGAATTTTCTTGGCTGAAGACAGTTCTCTTCTACTAAAAAAGAAGCTGTTTCTAATGAATATTCAATGTGGGAGCAAAAAATGTTTCTTATCCCAAGTCAGGAGAACTTCAAGGACAATTTGAATTTAAGTCTGGCCTACTTGTTCAGTGGGATAATTGTAGCCTATCTTTTCCCTCTTCTTTCTCAGTTCTTTTCCAAGGAATAGTGCAATAAATACCCCACACACTTGCCTTCATGTCTGATTCTGCTTTAAAAGGCACTTACAATTAAAAATTAAAATACTTACACATCATTGTTCTTAAGCCTTGAAATCTAGGGCTTTGGCTGTTAGAGTCATGAAAAGTTCAACTATAATAATAGATACAATACAACTCTATTATGCAAAAAATCACCGAGGTATTGTAAGTATTAAAGATGGAAAAACAAAAAGAGGCAAAATCTTTGTCTCTTAATGTAATACATAATGCAAAATCCCCCACTGCAATGTTCTCCAGCTGTCAAGAGGCTGGATAGCTGTTTAGAAAGAGAACACATGTCTACACACAGCCCACAACTTCTTTTGTGTCCTATGTCCCTGTTCAATTCAACTATTCTTGGAATAAAGATATCCTTGTTGTTGAAATTTTTCACAATACCTTTGTTCCAAGAACATTCAACAGTTTATTCAGTTCCATTTTTTTTCTGATAAGGGCGATCACTATAGTAATGCTCATAAACATAAAATGAAACATTTATTGGAAATTCGTGAAGTCTCAATTGGATGATCTCACTTATGGGATTATAAGGGAAATTGTTTAAGGTAGTGTGTAATGGGAAGCTGAGGCTCACCGACACAAAATAATTACTTAGGGGTCGGCCAGTTACTAAGTAAGTGGCAGACCCCAGAGCAATTTTATTTGATCGTAGAGCCCAACACATCACTCTAACACACTCATCATCTGCTTAAACTGAAGAGCCATCTAGCTAAAGCTATTAAAGAAAAATCCTTGGCCTGATCCAATAGAGGATTTATTGTTCTTTTTGCATCATGCATGAAGCTGCCTGTTTGTTTTCTTTCTTTCTTTTTTCTTTTCTTTTCTTTTTTTTTCGGAACTCAGGCCATTGTACTTGCCAGGGAAGCACTTATTCTACTGAGCCATCTCCCCAGCCCACCTGTTTGTTTTCTAACAAGTTAAAATGTTAAGAAAAAAAAAAAAAAAGAGGTGGCTTTCCTATTGGGAAAGTGTGCTTTTTGCTGTTGTTTTTCAGTAGGTTACAATTGCTGTCACCTCCCTACATCTTCATATGCCTCCTTCTCTTCTTCATTAACCCAAATCTCATCCTGCTCAGTCTATTTTAAGTTACCACTTGTTCTATTCTGGATCGTTCCGCTCCTCAGTGATTGATCACCACTATCTTTAAATGCACAGTAACCCATCTAATAGTAAATAGAGCTTCATTCTGAATGTACTGTGGTCCAGACACTTCCACAAGCATCCTGTGTCCTTAGTCAATGCAGAATTCAATCCATTTATAAATGAGTCAATCAATCCCATCAATAAACTAACTTGAGACTACTGAAAATGAAGAAGCAACAATTTAAAAATAAAAGTTTTTTTTTGTTCGTTTGTTTGGTGAATTTTAAGTCTCAATGAGTCAGAGGAAAACCTTATAGATTAGAAAAATTGCTTCATTTTTATCTATGCTTAACCCTCAATCTGACCAAAGAATGATAAGAAATGAAAAATGTTAGTGTGTGTACTATCTATTATCTCTGCCATTTAGTGACAGCTATTGTGTGTCTGACTTGGAAGATTTGCTCATGTCTTGCTGGAAATTGAAATTCTTTTGTTTTATTAGTGGCATTCAACTGGCTATTTGCAAATTTGCTATGGAGCACATCTTGTTCCCCTAAAGCACAACTCTGATATCAACAACTCTGCAAACAATCAAACTGTATTGAATTAATCACCGCAGTGCCTTTCAGTAGAAAATTAAGTTGTGTAGCATTTAGTAGGTTTATATGGCTCTCTGTTACTCTGTTACTGTTTAGCTTTTCATAAGAGCAAGGTATCAGTTAGAAAAAATAAAGGAAAGATCTTTCATTTATGAAACTATATATAACCACAAAAGCCAATCTAAATATGTGCATTGTTGAAGTAAACTGCAGTGGGAGTTCCTCTTTTCAAGACTTATTTCCCTGCCTTTATTTTTGATCTTTTGTTTTGGGTTGGTGTTTTGTTTGTTTATTCCAATTCAGGGCATCCTTTAATTCACTAATGTCTCAGATTTTTCTCTCTTTTAAGAGGCAAGGGAGAATACATTTTAAGGAAACAGCTCTAAGTTGAATAAATCTGTTGCAGTAACCCTGAGGACTCTGATACTTTTTCTTTTCAACAGATGAGATCCAATGGTGATGTGGGTTCTTATTCTTTAATTTACTTACTTTTAAAATTACTTTTGACTGCTTTTTCATTAGTTTTTATATACATATATTCTTAAATCCTCAAATAATTCTTTTTTTTCATGGACTGACAATTCTATATCCTTTTGAGCGCAATCAGATTTGATCCTGTAGACAAAAAAGAGATGAGTAAAGTGCCAGTAAGGTTAAAAAGGAAAAAAAAAAAAAGAACAGATTATAACTGAATTGAGACTGGTAGTCATAGTCAAATCATTAGGGCTATAGGGAGTTTGGTTTTTAAATTTTAGAAATAAGAGAAACAGTCATGTGAAGGATTAGCTAAAGACCAAAATGACCCCATCCACAGAATTTCTCATCACCCAGTTGAGGTCCTCAAAGGTTCACCAGTAATACCGAAATGATGGTAGCAGGGGCTCTGTTTTAAGAATCACTGCTTAGCCCAGCACTTTGGGAGGCTCTGGCAGAAGGACAATAAGTTCAAGTCCCATGTGGGCACTTTAATACTGACACACACACACACACACACACACACACACACACACTCACTCTACTGCAGAACAACTTTATGATGGACTTTTTTTTTTTTTCTAGGCTGTCTTATCCATTGTAATTTTTTTTTAAAAGATAACTTCTAACATATATCACTTGGCAGATTTTACTTAAGGTTTATTTTTCTCCACATGGCTTAAGTAGGATAAAGCAAATATGGAAGCTTCATGGAGACCACATCCACAAAAGACGAAAATCCTCAAGAGTCGAGAAGTAGCGATTTGCTCTCTGCGCAGAGCACCCACCATTATCCTGGTTTACTTGAGGTCAGTTTTTAATATTCTAAGTCCCCAGCATTTTCATGTGCTGAATTTTTCATTATCATATATTTTTTATAGTGTAAGATTTTCATTTTGAACATATTTATACAATTTTTTTTCACTTATTTTTTGATGTGGGGGTTATTTAGAAGCATGTTTGTCCTGTGCAGGCCCCGCCGTAGGGGTGTGCTGAGACTGTGATTGAGACTTGGTGTGGTGGTGCACACCTATAAACCCAGCTCTTTGGGAGGCTAAACACAGGTGGATCACTATGAGTCTGATTTACGTAATGAGACCCTGTAGACCCTATAGATCCTAACCACCCTCCCCAAAAAAGCATATTTCTTCCAAGTAAATCTCTTAGGCTGTTTACCTGCATTACATTAGGATATCTGTGAAACATAGTTTAACATATTTTTTAAATCAGTATTTGCAATTACTTATATTTAGAAAATATGGCCCATATAATTTCCTGAGCACATGAAAATAATTATTTTGCAAATAATTTGAAAATGTTGAGATTTCTCATACAAGATTTATGAGATCAGTTTTAGTAAAACTTCCAGCATCAAATAAAGATAATTGATCAGAAAATTTGGGACACACCTGAGTTACAGGATGTTACAGTACAGGTTCTCCTATGTCCTGAGTCCTCACTGATCTTGAAAGGCTAGGGCCAAAGTGTGGCTGTCCTTGCAGCCCTTCTTTTTCTTTAACTTTTGGTCTGAAAACTTAAGTTGTTAACTCTCCAGAAGAGAAGCTTAATGATATTATTACTCTATAACATAGGCAGTTGAGTTGTACTTCACTATCTGCCTAAATATCAAACATCTTAGACATAACATGGGACAGGCATTTTCCATCAAGTATTGGTATGTTAAACTTTAAATCCCTACAGAATGTGAAGAAAAATAAGAAAACAAATTAAAATTAAAATAATAAAAGTGATAGGAATAAACAATTACATATTTTTACACAGAAATTTAGAAATCTAACCATATACAGCACTTTAGCAGGACAGTCCTATGATTTTTTTTCTTGTCTCTTGTTTCATTCATTACCCTTTTTAAAAAATAAACATTTACTTGAGAGACTGTATGGTAGCAATAGGTATGCCATGACAAGCAGTATGTATTTAGAAGACCAGAATGACAGTCATTCCAAGAGTGACCCTGGTATTACACATTGGTATCTTCTGTGTAGTTGCTTAGTTTGATTGCTTCTCGGCCTTTTGGCTAAGATCAAGTGTAGTAGCTTAGTTCGCAGGTATCAGCATATATAGTTAGTCATGAAAAGAATCCTACCGATTAAGTGCTAGTTTCAAAAATGTGCAGAAGATTCTCAGGATCATTGCCTTAACCATCTTGTGCATATAAATGTATGGTTTTGCCTCTGTCATGTTTTCTAGATTCCTTGCCCTCTCTTTATTGTTTAATTCTTAGGTTCTTGCTTTCAACTGAGGAAGGGATAAAGAAGATTTGATAATTTTGCACAATGGAATATTAGCTATAAAACAGGATAAATTTGAAGGTTTTATATATGAATTGTATATGAATGTATAAATGTATGAAATTGTATATGAATGCAACTAGAGACCATACTCTTAAGTAAAATGAATCAGACCCACATGTATAAATATCATATTGTCTCCTTAGTTTGAGAACCTGAAAGAGAAAATGAAATCCAAAGAGTGCAGCAGATATGGGGAAAAGGGAATGAAGTTATTCAAAAGGAAAAAGTTACTGCATTGAGGAGAAGGACAGGAGAGGGAGTAGGAGAAAGAAATGGATCTGTGCATGTAGACAGGATGGTTTGAACAACTGTACTATGAGTTTCTGCTTTCTAGGGAAAGGAGCAATTAATGCTTAATTTATATTGTCTCTTCTTTTCAATTATCATTTTTCTTTTCTTAATTTCTTATATATTTCTTTCTTTTTCCTCCAATTTTGCATATATATATATATATATATATATATATATATATCTGATAATATAAATAACTAGTTGGAAGACAACACTATGAATTACAACAAATACTGAGAAATTCATATTACTTTGTTAAGTAAAATTCTGTATCACTTATATTTTTTCTGTTTTAATACTATTTTGTTCTCTCTTTCAAAAATAAAAAAAATGGAAATAGAAATAAAACACATGAAAAGATTTAAGAAAAAGATAATTGTTATTTTGGGTAGTTTACTATGCATGTACTAGACCACATTTGCTTTTAATTTTTATGAATTTTCTGTAGATGATCATTCTTTGCTTATGTTAATATCTACCACTTGATTGGGGTTAAATTAATGCAGCCTTAAAATGTTTTATCATTATTATGTTTATTACTTTTCTCCATTAAACTACCTCACACAGGAAATAATTTTTCCTTTAAAATTAGATTTTTTTTGCCAGTTTTTGACATTTAAAAAACTATAATCATGTATATGTACTCTACTATGTCTGACTTTTTTACTGTAAAATGTTTTTGTGAACCATCCAAACGAATGTATCAGTAGTCCAGCATTTGAAAACCTTTCTTGATAGCAACCCATTGTTGTCACATACCACAACTTCTTTTCATCCTATATGAATAAACATTTCAAAAGTTTCCAGTTTAGGGAACAATAACAATCCTCTTCTATTAGTCAACAGCTAGATTCTTACACTGTTTGGTATACATTCTAAGGAACATTGAAAAATTTAATTTTGCCAAAACTTTTGCCATTAAAATCTTACTGACTTAGTGAGTAGTAGAAAAAAAGCGAAAAAACCCACAACAGTTGCTTATCAACTTTCAGGCATCTGGTTGGCCTCAATGAAAATATAGTGAGAATGTATTATACTGTATATATGACACCAGTAATATCAATTATGGTCTTAAGACACCAAATATGCAGAGCTTATGTGGTGTGAACTTTTTGCCATGAACCCATACTGAAAATCTGTAGAAAACTCATGAAAACCCAGTAATGGGAGATTGGCACAATTTGATATTCAAATCATTTTGTCAGAGTTATTATGGGTAAGGAAAAGTGGCTTCCTTGAAATTGTACTCTAGAAATTTGTTGTTAAGATAGATATGATTTGCACAATCAGATATTGGTGATCAGGGAAAATAGTTAATGCAGGAGAGTTAGGGTAATAGAACATATATGGAGAAATGTTATTAAATAAAATTATATGTATACAAATCTTATAATTTGTATATAAAATGTGAAATTATTATGCAACATTCAAAGATTGTAAAACTTTTAGTATTAAAATTTGCAAAATCATGGGCTGGGGAGATGTCTTAGTGGAATAAGTGCTTCTTTGGCAAGTGCAAGGGCCCAAGTCCAATCCCCGGTTCCGGAAAAGAAAAAAAAAAAATTACAAAATCAGGAACGGCCAGATAGCTTAGCCCATTAAAGTGCCTGCAAGCAGGTTCAGGGGCCAAGTGGGGGTTCTGCCCTGTGGGTCCAACCCCCGAGGTGTGCTGAAATGCCAATTGAGACTGGGCATGGTGGCATGTGCCTGTAATCCCAGCTTTTGGGAGGCTGTAAACAGGCGGATCACTATACGTCCGATCTGGCAGTGAGACCTTGAAAGTGATGTAGACCCTTCCCTAAAATACAAAATGAATAAATAAATAAATAAAATTTGCAAAATCAATACACGAAGTAGGGAGAACAATTCTTTCCATGCGCACGCCATGAAAAAAGTCTGAACAATAACTAGTGCAAATAGCATCACAATGTAGACTGAGATCATCTCTTGATTTAGAATCAGCTAAGCAACCTGTGAGTCATTAAGGTTTGCACTTTTGAAAAAGCAGCATTTAAACTTTAATTTATTTCTTCTTAAAGGCAATAACACTGACTCACCTTGTCCTGGCACCTTAGGTGGACCGAGAACTCATCAGAGGTGTGTAAGTGAATATCGATTCGTGTAAATGATGTGATAATAATTTCAGTCCAAAGGAAGATTAAAGTGAGCGAGTCTGGCAGGGCAGCGTGAAACATGCGGCAATTAACTGGTGTGGGTGAATGAGGATCTAGTAATAAAGAGTGAGTACTTGCTTACCATGCAAACAAAGAAAATTATGTTATGTTTCAGATCACAGCAGCGGATTATACTACTCAGATAGTGAGATGCTAAGAGGTAGGTTAGTGACAGTGTAATGACGTTAGATATTTTTAAGCCTTGCAATGTAATTTTTCATTGGAGAAAAGACTGAGTTGTGATTATTCCTACCTTGTTTTGCAATTATTTAATCTATTCATGCCAGCTTCCTTTCAAAGTGCCATATTCAAACAAATAGTTCAAGTCAAGCGGTTGAAAAGTCTAGCCATAATGTCTCTAGTTAAAAATTAGAAGACACTTTCTTATCATCTCAATGGACCCTAAACCCATTTGCTTCAAGAATACCAGCATGCAGATATTTAAGCATGCACAGCTTTATTTTAAAAATTTGGGCACATTTTAAAATAATCTGTACATAAGGTTTTTAATGTTCATGATATGTTGCTCTCTAGGTTAGTACCTCAACACTTAATATATTCAATAATAATTTTTAAAACTACATGTCGGGATTGATTAGGCTTGGTTGGACCATTGTCACTTCGAATTGCTCATGAAGTTGTAGTCACATAACGACTGTAATTATCTGAAGGCTTAATTTTTCGGGAAATCCAAAAGGCCTCACAGTCATGGCTGGTGACTAATGTGTCCTCAGATGGGAAGTAGAGTGAGGCTTCTAACCACTGCCTTTTTTTTTTTTTAACAATAGGTACATATGGCTTCTCCAAGCTTTCTAGTAGTAACAGGCATATCTTAGGTAGTGGATACATCAGTCCTATCTTTTGTCCACACATGACCTTCTTCTACATGTGCCTGTGCCCGTGTCTCCATTTCTTCTTTCAAAAATTACTTTTAAAATAAATGGATTGATTACTTAGAGACAGGCTATCACTTGGTTGCTAAATTGCTGAGGCTGGGCTTGACCATGTAATCTTCATGTCTTAGATTCGCAGTGCTGGGATTACAGGTGTGCACCACAACACTGTTGCTTCTTTTAACCAGAACTCTGCTTTTATTGGATTGGAGCACTTCTTCATGATCTCATTATACCTGTAAAGATCTGTGTTAAAATAAGGCCAGGTTCTGAGTTAGTGGAGATCAGACTTAAGTTAATCTTTTTGTGGGGAGGGCATAACTCAAGCTGCAACAGAACTATACCTCAGCTGATCCATTAAACTTTCTGTTTGTCTTTGTTGTTCAGAGCAGTCTCAAGGTTCCCTAGTCTCATAGTGGTAAACAATAGATTAAACTTTTAAAAATTAGATTGGAAAATTACACTGCAAAGAACACTAAGGAGTAGGAAATATTATTTTAGCCATCTTTAAGAAATATATAGCCTGTCACGCTCCACCTGTCATTCAGAGTGATTTACTTTTGTTCTATATGAAGTGTTCACTGACTTGGAGATCCAATTTCATCAACTGAATCTGCTCCTGCTGTCAATAGGCTGCAAGGTCCAGCTCCATCAGTACAGAACTTCTCCATGGTGGTTACTCCTGATCTTAGGATCACCAAACCAAAGGGGAAGTCTTCTATCCCTCCAATGCTGACATATAATTTTAAGACATAACTGGAACCACAATAGAAGTGGTAGTCAAAAAAGTAGAGAAAGTAACATAAGTTGCATTGGTCAGTCTGTTCCCATCCTGAAATCTATGGGGGCATGTGCTCAATTCCAGAGTGTGGAGCTAGAGCTTTCCTCTTGCAGTGATTTTTTAAAAAAATGTTCTGACACTATCATCTGAATCATTTATCATTTATATAAAAAGAAAAATCAAAGGGTCTGATTTCTACAGCTGAGTTTCTTTTTCAGCAAACTGCCTGCTGGTAAGATTGCAGCTACTAAAAGTCAGGAGAGGAAGAAACAATATGGAACTCAATTTTGAAATTAAATCTCTAAAAGAAAATTGGCGTATGTAGGTTGGCTTACTCAACATGCATTTTCCACTTTCTTCTTGCTTGCTTTGTTCTACTGCAGAGAATGGATAGCTCAGTTTTCTCCTTAGACTGTTTTGCAGTGAGGACATTTGTAACACATTTCTCACCAGTGAGATATAATCTGAAACTCCTGGTATTCTCTCTCTCTCTACTCAGTCTTCTTCATTCTTGAAACAATGCTGTGAGGGTCGTCAGCTGTTTTTCTGATCCTAAAATAGGCAGATCGAAAAGTATACTAGTCTGACCCTTGAAATCTTTAAATTGGTGCATTAAACTAATAAGTGAAGCTTTCCTCTGCCCAGGTCCTTTGACCAACTATGCTCGTGTGTCTAAACCATTCCAAGGAAAGACAAGGAAACTATGGCATCTATAGACTTCCTGTTGCAGAGAGCAGAAGGCAGCTCTTTCATAGGATTTCTTT